ATAGATACACGAATCAAATTCTGAAGTATTTACACATATCCTCATAATAGGAAGTAGAGTACGTTGATGAGCATGGTAACCCCGTGAATATCGATGCGGAAGACGTGGAGTATGTAGACGAGGACGGCAATCCGGTAGACGCGCAGGGTTATCCCTTAGAGCAGTCGGCTGAGGGTATGAATGTAAACCAACAGAGTAAGGAAACACCGCGTGAACAAGTGGGAGGAATGAATGAGGTACGTGTATGTATATAGAGCACCGACTAGATGTAGTTTGTATATGTATAGTGGTGTACTACCCCCTATAAACCCCTAAACCCTAAAACTAGATACAATTTTGTATATAGTGATATACTTCCCTATAATCTGAATACTATCCATCGTTCTACACCCCGTAGTAGAGCACATAAGAGATATATTGGGAATGACCTGTTTGGCAAGTTGAAAGCTCGAGATGAAGATAGCATATTTGTTGTATCGAATTCTTAAGAATAGTCGAGAAGAAGAAGAAATCCGTTTTTTATCGAGGTTTATACATATCCTTAGTAATAAGCACGAGCTGTGTCTACATATATGGATCGGAAAAGAAATGTGAGTATGTATATACTACCAGGATGTGTATGTACGCGTGCGGAATGGACAAAGTATGTAATAATCCCTGAGGTTGAGCAAGTGTGTTGATATTCATCGCTCTCGTACGTGTACATAACAATCCTTCTCTGCTTCAGACTCATTTCAAACCCACAACATACTATACATACTCATCACCATCCCCACACTATACAGGTAGAAATAGCGTACGTGTACGTACCAATTGTACTTACATATCAGCTTCAGACTTCCCTTCGAACCCACAACCTACCATACATACTCATCCCCCCCCCCCCCCACCACACACTCTCTCTCTCTCTCTCTACAGGTAGAAATAGCCTCGCGGATGATAGACTCGCACCAGAGCGATCAGACAGCAAGCAACAGCAGTATACATAACACCATGGACAATATGAGCCACAACAGCATACATACCAACACCATGGATAATATAAGCCACAACAGCATACATAACAACACCATGGATAATATCAGTCACAGCAGTGGCACTCGAATAAGCAATCCCGGCAGGGCCCATCACTCGCCCTCAAATAGCCGAGCCAATACACCTGGCAGTAAGTCCCCTACCGCAAACGACCGACGGTCGCCCATACGCCACTACAACGATACCAACCAGGACGACATGGGGTATGAGATGCGTCGGTGGGATGACCCTGAAACCAATTCACCCCTTACGCAAAGACGAGCACTGGTTTCTTAGTTGTTTCTCGGTTGCTTCTGGGTTGTTTTGGGGTTGTTTTGGGGTCGTTTCTGGGTTGTTTGTTCAGTGGGGTCTGGCACACGCAGTGATATTATTAATGTCTTAGCTCATGCTGATTTTGTTATGGTTCAGTCGTGATGTAGATCTTGCTTTTGTATTCCAAATAGTCAATACGATTGATATGGTTCAAAGGATGAGCTCGTGCTTTTCCCGTTTATGTTGAG